TCCACCTCGCGAACCAGAAGGGCGTCCTCATGATCGGCCCCGCCACCGTTGGCGGCATTAAGCCTGGCTGCTTCCGCATTGGCAACAGTGGTGGTATGATGGACAACATCATCGCGTCCAAGCTCTACCGCGCAGGCTCCGTCGGCTACGTTAGCAAGTCGGGCGGTATGTCGAACGAGCTCAACAACATCCTGTCGCTCGTCACGAACGGCACGTACGAGGGTATTGCCATCGGCGGTGACCGCTACCCCGGCACGACGTTCATCGACCACCTGCTTCGTTACGAGGCGGACCCGGAGTGCAAGATGCTCGTCCTGCTCGGCGAGGTCGGCGGTGTTGAGGAGTACCGCGTCATCGAGGCCGTCAAGACCGGCAAGATCACCAAGCCCGTCGTCGCGTGGGCCATCGGCACATGCGCGAAGATGTTTGCCACGGAGGTCCAGTTCGGTCACGCCGGCTCGATGGCCAACTCCGAGCTCGAGACTGCCGACGCGAAGAACAAGGCCATGAAGGCGGCTGGCTTTATCGTCCCCGACACCTTCGAGGACTTGCCGACCGTGCTCAAGGATACGTACGACGCGCTCGTTTCGCGTGGCACTATCGTCCCGAAGGTTGAGCGCGACCCCCCCGTCATCCCCATGGACTACAAGTGGGCGCAGGAGCTTGGCATGATCCGTAAGCCCGCGGCGTTCATCTCGACGATCTCGGACGAGCGCGGCCAGGAGCTTCTCTACGCCGGCATGCGCATCTCCGAGGTGTTCAAGGAGGATATCGGTATCGGCGGTGTCGTCAGTTTGTTGTGGTTCAAGCGCCGCTTGCCGCAATGGGCGACGAAGTTCATCGAGATGGTACTCATGCTTACGGCCGACCACGGTCCTGCTGTATCTGGGTACGTTGCTGATAGTCTCTTTGCGAGTGCACGCTGACGCATTATTTCATAGTGCCATGAACACTATCGTCGCGTCCCGCGCGGGCAAGGACCTCATCTCGTCGCTTGCATCTGGTCTCTTGACCATCGGTAGCCGCTTCGGTGGTGCGCTTGACGAGGCGGCGAGCATGTTCTCCAACGCTCGCGACACCGGTCTTACTCCCCGTGAATTCGTCGATGAGTCGCGTAAGGCGAACAAGCTCATCAGCGGTATCGGCCACAAGATCAAGAGCGTCAACAACCCTGACCTGCGCGTGGAGCTCGTCAAGGAGTACGTCCGGAAAAACTTCCCGAGCCACAGCCTGCTCGACTACGCGCTCGCTGTCGAGAAGGTCACCACTGCCAAGAAGGACACGGTACGCCGATCTGCACTGACGCGCTTGTTCACGAACTGATGTGGCCCTACGCGCAGCTCATCCTGAACGTCGACGGCTGCATCGCTGTTTGCTTCGTCGACCTCCTCCGCGACAGCGGAGCCTTCACGAGCGACGAGGCGAACGAGTACATCAAGATCGGAACCCTGAACGGCCTGTTTGTCCTTGGTCGCAGCATTGGTTTCATCGGCCATCACCTCGACCAGAAGCGCCTCAAGGCCCCTCTGTACCGTCATCCCGGTGAGCCCTTCCCGTATTGCCCGCGTCTTGCACCGCAGTGCTAATCCATCATTCCAGCCGACGATATCTTCATCGACATGCTCCCCGTCGCCCAGCCCCGAGTATTGGGCACGATGCAGTAGGACTTTCCGTACTAGATTTGACCCGGCCTTCATTGGCTGCGTGTCATCCACCCGCTTTCGTTGCATTTCATCATCATCTCCCTCACTTTTGCACGCCTGGCTCGGGCCCGTAGACTGACTGGACCATCCTCACACGTAGAATCAAAGAAATAAACAGGCTTTATAATGCATCCGTCCTGTCGTCCGAACGCAAACTGCACTTCTACCGCCGGAGCATCGATCCTTATCGAAAGGCGGAGCACCGCTACCGCGTTGAAGGGAGATGCTTGCTCAGGAAAGCGCTGTTGACAACATGCATGTTAGCGTAAGAGCCCATGGGGCTGTCACCGCTGGCCCGCCGCTTGCTCTTTCCCCCCATCTTTCCCTTCATGGACGCAGAGATTGCAACGGTCACTACCACCCTCCATTTCTTCTTTGCCTCGAGTAAACTGTACAGTGAGTTAATGGGCCCGCTGGTAAGATGCGTGTGCTGATGCTGTAACCGATAGCTGCATGCTTGGCGCTATTACTTTGGGATTACCTCCTCACGCTTGACAAAGAGGTGTGCTTCGTTCACGAGCATGCGATAAGCTATAACACGTCCTTATGTCCAGATCTCTCTCTTCTGGGTGAGTTTGCAGGAGAGCCTAGAGTCTGAACCTATTTGACGGGGTGATAGTCCAAGCGACAATGGACGTTCCTTCGATGCGTCTTTCTATGGGTGAGCGGAATTTTTTCTAGCGTCACCGTGTGTTCATTCATCGCATTTAGAATCGTTACGCTACGCCAATGCTCCACGCCTTCATCGTCTACGGTGCGTCTCCGCCCCGGGAGAACTCGCTGTAACGCGTCACTGAGTGCACGGAAGGTATCCTACAGCGCGGAGCCTCCGACAATACGTGCGTCGAGTCCAAATACGTTTGCTCCCTTCTCATCAACGCCTAGATGTGTGTTGAACTCTCACCTGGAACTCACATCAATAATAAATTCACAGGCGCCATCCTCCTTAAGATCGCATTTCCAGTCCTTGGTATGTCGCCGTTCAGCCTTCGTATTTCCGTCTCACGGCATCTCAGGCGCTACGCAATTAGCAGTTACACAAATGATAATTGTGTACAGGCTCTCCGCCATGTATCGCGATGAGCGCGGTACCATGTTACTGGTTCTCGTCTTCTCCGTCGCGGCAACAGTAACTTCCATATCCATTCTTTCCATTTCGGTGACTAGAATAGGAGGTACGTAGCGGAATCTGTTACAGTCATGCTTCTGACACACCGACCTCGTGCAGTCACTGGCCATCCATTCCCCGGCATGGACGCATGCTTCGACGTCTCCTCAGACAACCTCCTGTGGTTCACTCCGCTGCCGGTCATTCCATGGGAGATTCTGGCGTGCTTCTTGGCTGTCCGTAAAGCTCAACACCACCGCGAAATGACCCGAATGGCTGGTCAAACTTCCGGGTCGCGCATTCTTGGGATCCTTTCCCGAGATTCCGTCATTTACTTTGCCGCGTGAGTAGGCGGTCTATTCAGTGCTTTGCGCTCCAAAATTGACCTCGACTCATAGTATCCTTGCCATCGACATCTCCATGGCTGTGATCTGGCGCACGGGTCCTGTGCGGAACTTCATCGGTGTCACTGCTTGCGATCCTCACTCATGCACATCCAGATTCAACTACGTCGCGTCTTTGCAAGCCTATTCTATACAGCATCTTCGATGTTGGGGAACCACCTGCTTTTTAATCCCAGGAAGACAGACGAGCGTATGAGGCAAGGGAGCAAGTCCAACTCCGCTTACTCACGTTCTTTACCGCGCTTCACTGCCCAAAAATGAGAATCTGTGTTTTCGAATTCGAAGGGAACTACTGTTGGTTGGCTCCGGCCACTTCCTGTCTCGGTTTTCTGCGTGAACTGGCAACACCAAGTCATATCTCGCCCGGCAAAGCGCACAAAACTATGGAACTGACAGAGCAACGTAAAGGGGGTTGTAGCTCAGTGGTAGAACCCGGAAGTAGCAAGAAAACAGCAAGGCAAAAAGCCCAGGGAGCAACACCCGACAAAACCAAAAACCTCGGGAAAGCAACCGCAAAGAAAAACCACCCCCCCTACCACTGAGCTACAACCCCCTTTACGTTGCTCTGTCAGTTCCATAGTTTTGTGCGCTTTGCCGGGCGAGATATGACTTGGTGTTGCCAGTTCACGCAGAAAACCGAGACAGGAAGTGGCCGGAGCCAACCAACAGTAGTTCCCTTCGAATTCGAAAACACAGATTCTCATTTTTGGGCAGTGAAGCGC